TTTTTGGCTTTCTTGCTGCGGTCAACTGTCTAACCTGACACAGCATTGCTTCTCTTGTGGGGTGTGTCATTTATGTGGTATGACAGAAACATCAGAGAATAACGATGCGTCCTCCTCCTCTCAATATTTGTGGTCACTTGTAGCCTATTCCCACCACATTTTTTACAGTGATGCAGCAACATTCAGCATCAGAAACTATGAAGTTCAGGAGGTTTGGAGTCCAGTAATCATAGAGCAAACTGTTCTCTTTGGCTACTGCAACTATGCAAATTGCAAACGCAAGTGCTCATTTGCGGTATGACCATATATAAAAAGAAAGGCCAAACATTCCCAACAACATAGTCAGATATGGTATGGAAAGATGTGTCAGCCTCTAACGCCCTAATAAGCATCTGCTATTCAAGGAAGTGTTTTCAGGTATATCAGTAACAGTAAAAATGATTCTGCGGGGTGTGTCAGTTAATGTTATCGCTGACTGATGACAACTAGTAATAACTTGGAATATTTTATATATGAGTTGTCTTGTCTCGTGTGAAATATGTACTTTAATGAACACTCCTGTGTGTGGTACTGAATAACTTAGGTTATGTGGTTACACAGACAGACAGCAAGGACTGTGAGCCTCTTTGACAACACCGATAACATGCAAACAAATGGTTCAGGCTGCATGTGATAAATGAGAAACTGCTGGCTACCTGCTGAATAAGCTGTTGTCTTACTCTCTTTACTGTCTTAAAACTGTATTTTCTAAGCATGAAATGGAAGCGTTGTTTTGTGAGAAACCCTAAAGTGTGGGGTAAACAACAACAACAGTGGGATATATTGTTATATTAGTTATTACTGTGATCAATTGATAATTTGTCAAGGCAGGGAGGACAATGGACAATTTCTACCTCCATTTGCACTGTTTACTGTAGCTACTGTGTTGTAAGTTAATTTTATTTTTAGGGTTATCTATCAAGACCCTTGAAAATCTCCCCAATTTACGGCACGACCCAGCTTTGTTACAACGTGTAAAAAAATCTAATCAAAAGCTATGTCATACTGCTGATCATTAAACAGTCTAATGTCTGTGCTGCATACAAGGATTGGCATTAAAGCTACAGTATCTCGACCTCATGTCATTGATGCTGGTGCACACTCACATGTCTGGTGGTAAATCACTGAGCCTGCCTTAATGTTCCATCTTCCTGTTCATTGACACGGGAGTGTTACATTTATCATCTTTGGGGTAAAAGTGTGCCCACTTGCAGGCGCAAGGATCACAAAGGATTGTAACATCAGTTCATATCCGGTCTCTGTTTAAACGTCTTGCAGCGCAAATCATGGGATGTGAAATACCTCTAGCTAGCTGAATGCTGGGTTTGGCTACCTTATGTGAGGGGCCATCAGGGGTCATTAAAACATTATGGTGTGTGTGCAAGTGTGTGCGTACTTATCTCTCCTCCACATTGAACCCATTAACTTCAGAGTGAAACATGGACCTCAACCTTACTTGAGAACACACAAATGGGCCAAAAGCATGAGAAACCATTTGAAGTAGCAGGCTGTAAAGGTGTTATCAGTTTTAGGATGGTGGTTGCATTCTGACCTACCTTAAAACAAATACTACATGTGTAAGAACTCTTTTGGTTTGGGTGGTTAGTGTAACATCCCTACCAGTGGAAAGCTTGAACCTGTTCTGGATTCAGAGTCCTCTTCTGTCTCCAATATGATTTATACTTTGAAATTTGGCACAAAATGTTTCCATATACATCATTTCTGAAACAACTTGTTTAATTTATGTTAAATTATGTACATAAATGTCAGATGTATACCCATTTTATTTAAATGTAAATGCCCACAAGACAACGGACAGTAGTGCTGAATAAGTAAGCACTTAAAGAGGTGGTCAGAGACCACAAAAGCATTATTGATCACACAATAGTGAAATACTACTAAGGTTTCCAATGCAGAAAAAAAAAAAAACTAGGATCATAAACACTTAAAGATCTTGTCTCAGTCAGTGCACATGTCGTTGTATCACCTGATGTTTAGAATTGGTGCCTCTGGTACAGTACAGCACAGTTTGAAGAGATCAGCAACTTCATTTTGCTACCAGACAATACTGTTGGATTTGGTTGGAATGTACCTTCTGCGGTCTGTACATAAATTAAGTGTGGGTAATTCATACCTAGAGAAAAGCTGCAGGGCAAGTATGCGCCTCACAACCCCAGCCACAGAGTATGTACTCTTCAGCTTCCTGTCTAGCAAGCTGACAGCGTGGCCGATCTGTCCACTGGCCGTTAATCTGTGATGTCAAGCCAAGGCTCAGAAGACATTTACTGTATGCAGACTTGGGGCCAGCATGGATTACAGGTCATCCTAACTGCCCTGCTCCAGTTGTGTATATCTTGCTAAGCCACGGGTCTAGACAGCCGCCTACTAACCTATCTTTGTTGGACAATCTAATTTTCTAGATCGATGTATTTGGCATTTTATGATCGACCCATTCTTTAGGTCGAATCACACAGCCGTGGTAGAAAAAAAAAGCTGCACTTTGAAGTATTTTCCATGTGGTCGGTGTGTAGAAAACGCCACAAAAAGCCACCTGTATTGATGTTCATGTGTAATTATTCAAACGCCGTGCCTTCCGCTTTAATACCGACTGAGCTGATGTAACAGTGCGTAGTCTGCGAGGGACGTGCTGCCCAATCACAGCCCTATTCATCCACACATCCTCTCCCAACTATTCAGCCTCTGCCAGTGCCAGCCCACACCGTTTATGTGTTAATTGAGACCTACACACCTCTCATCTGGTGACATGGCCCCAGTTCACACCGCTTCGACGAATTCCATGTGTGTCTGTTTGTTAAGAGTTCCTACTGTTACCATCACTTTATCAAGGCCTCCTGCGTCAATACTGTGAAATGTTGTCAATTCATCACAGGCGGAAGACAAACAATGTGTTCTGGACAAAGCGGTGCCAAAATGACAACAAAAGATTGAAGATATGTCATTGTGACATAATAACACAGATTAGGTGAAAACCCTCATATATATATATATATATACGCACTGTGAGTTGGTAAAACATAGTGAAAACTGACACCGTAGATCAGGGGGATACATGGTGAATTGATTGCAGTTTAGATCGTGTACTATTTCACCAAGCAATAACAAACAGCTCCTGGTTTGGGGTTTCCACAGGCGCAAGATTTACTTACTGTTTTCCTTCCCTTAACCTGAGTAGTTTTTTTTTGGCTTCTGCTTAGAGACTATGATCTAATTTGAGTGCTGGTGACATCTGATACACATTAAATCATTACCTTTGAGATTGTATACAGAAAATATTTAAAATGATGGCTCAACTCAGCTGCTTTTATATGTGAAACACGTTAATATATCTCTTTTTGCTGGATTATTTCGAGAGGAAATCTGCCTGGCTTCCACATGACGACAACCCCCCCGGTTAACATGTGAGATAACCCCTGCTACTGCAACCGTAGAGCGGCGCAATGTGCAGTAAAACCACACCAGTGCAATTTGCTTCCACTAATAAATGCCTATGATCTAACGCTTCTGTAATATAAAACCCCGCTCTCCCCGTTGCTTTGGCACTTAAAGTAAACCTTATCACCCGGGGACGTTGTTGTTGGGATAGCAACGTGTTCAGCGAAATTAAATCAAGCATCATCGCTCCCCGAGGTCTGGAGGCAGTCTAGCTGGAAAGTGGGTTAGGCGGTCACGGCTGTGTGGTTACACTCCGCTTCCTTGCTAGCAGGCAGGCAGACTGCTTTACGGCAGTATTCCCCAAACAATGACACCCACCCCCCATTAGCCCATGCCGCTACCTTTGTGGAGCGCGTAGAGCTCCGTTGAGCCACAATAACCCGAGTTACACTGCACCATTACCTAAACACAGTCTGTGAGCACACATCGGCTGCTTTGATACTTGCCTAATTGTCCCTCGCTGATCGTGAGCACGATTTGATCCATGAGAAGAGAGCGGAATTCAACATCCTCGTCGGCGCAGCGCTCCTTCAGCGCCCGGAGGATCTGAAGTTGGGGATATTCCTGGCTGATACGCCGGTCGGTCACGAACCAAACTCGAGAGCACATTTTTCTTTTCTTTTCTTTTTGCGTGCAAAAACAAAAGATCCCGCTGAAAACACACAGTTGTGGGAGGCGGCAGGTGTGTGTGTGTGTGTGTGTGTGTGTGGCAGCGAGGGTTCCGGGGGTAGAATAGCACAGAGATGCTCACACAATGGAGACCTCTCGGCGGCTACGAGCAGGCTGTGATGTGGCTACAAAAACAGCACCACGGGTCAACCGTTGTCTGGACCGAACCGGCTGGGATGAATTATCTTCTCTATCACCTTTGTTTCCCTTCGTATGCAGCCATTTAGTCTTCCCGAGGCGCCGTTACTTGAAGCCAGACCGCGCGGTTTCGACACAAACGAGACCGAAAATAACGGTGCGTGCACCCGTAGAAACTGCCTCTCTTTCAACGGGGGATGTAGCTCGTGGCACTATTTGCCCGCCGGGGCAAACAAAGCTCAAGCGGCGCCGCTTTATATCTTCCGCCTGTCGACTCAAAACTACCAATAAAGTTTTCCCGCGATCGCAGCGGTCGTGGAGGCGTCGCAGACCGCAGAAGTGGTGGGTTTGTTACGGTGAAGCTGCCCCACAACGACGACCCTCCTCTCTCTCCGTTTGGCTGCTATCCACAAGGTGCTGGTGCTGAAAAGTGCACGCGCTTCTTTTTACAACTCCACTTCTCCGCCCGCCCGCGCGCGTTAAAGAGCGGGACCTGCCCCAAAATAAAAGGTTTGGAGGGGCGTTAGCCAATCGCGACTCGCGTGCTTTGTCGTTGTCCAAACAGCGGAGGGCGTTGTGGGCGAGCCGCGACCACCCCGACCAATGAGGGGACGTTTAAACGGCACGAGGGGGGCTGAGCCTGGGGAAAGAGCGCGCGGAGTGCTGCGTGAGTCAGTGCGCGGTGTCTGCAGCACTGCGCACGAGACCGCGCACTTTTCCCGAACCGGTTCAGACCAGACGGTGCGACCAGGTTTGGGATACCGACAATGCTGTCTCCATGCTGGAGTGGCAGGAGAGGAAACAAGGTCACCATCACTAAACCAAAGACACGACCCATCATTTTCCTCTCGTCCCTTCTGTGTCCAGCTCTAAAGTTTGAGGCTTTTATTACTATTATTATTAATAAATAACTTTATATTTAGACAATGGCTACTGTAAAGTAGTGCCACCCAGAGGCCGTCGAGCTGAGCAGAGGGAGAAACACTTCATGTGATAATGGTGCGAAATTATGCAGTGACCCACTTCTCTTGTTCTCTTCCTCTGTGTGTGTGCTAATATAATTGGTGGTGCTATTAACACAGTCAATCCTGTTACATATATTTTTAGATTCAGTGGGACTTGGACTAGAATGACGCTCCTTGTAACTCCCGAACTTGCCTAAGAAACATCATGTTTTTAAGTTTGTTTCAGTGTAAAAGTAATTCAGTGACAGATATCTGTACAAAAATGGGTAAAATGCATACAGGAACGACTAATAGCTAATTCGGCATTATTCCAATGGTGCTACTTTGAAGTGTAAATAATTCTAGGCTAAAAGAAGACCGCTTACTCGCTAACTTTATGACAATATTGTATTTCCTGTTTATAGCCCCTAAGGCTTTATGGGAATTGGAGTTCCAAGAATTTGAGCACGCTTTTCCCGGGAAAAACTAAGCCAGATTTATAACCTATTTCTGCGTCACTTTGAGACGTTTCAGTAGACTCCTGGGTGTCAAACCTCAGCTAATGAACCTCGTTAAAGGTCTTCGAGGCTTTAAATCACTGAACTTCTAATCAACAACAATGTTACAGAGCTTACATAAAAGCTAATTAGTCAAGCAAACCTACCAAACTACACTATTTCCACGTTGTTTCTGTGTTGAATTCATGGATGTAAATACGAGTTTTGATAAAACAATACATTGCATTTAACTCAGCGGGTGCCACAGCGCATGCGTAACTTCTCTGTGCGAGCTAGGCGGGTTCTCGCGAGAGGTGGAGCCCACATCAATGAGAAAAAATTATAAAGTTACCTGACTCAACAATAAATGATTCGTATCTCTTATTAACATCATTTTAAAAGGGTAAAAGACTGCGTCGGTCAAACACAGGCTACACGTGTAGAAGTAACAGGTTACTGGGCGGTTTCACCATTTTGTTATGATTCTCCCAATCACACCCCCTCGAGATATTACTCATACTGTACTTAACGCTACACAAGACATGGACATAGCCTCACACCTAGAGATGAAAATGGAAAAACCTCAATGTTTGCCTTAAGAAGCTGCATAGCTGGTTATTATGTTTTTGTCTGCCTCCTTTAGCATCCTCTGAGCTGTGAGCTCAGCACACTGCAACGTCGGCGAGCCAACAGGATCAAACCGGGCAGAGCCAGTCGTGCTGCCCAATCATCACAGAGTAGGGGGGAAGGCGCCGAAGTAGACACATTCCTCTTCATGAACGTCGCACAGTCAACAACACACAGACGTTTTCTGCTGCAACACCAAAAAAATCTCCCTTCTTATTTGTCATGTCCACTGCATACACACAAACCACACATGTTTTACTGGGAGGCTGCTGTAACCCTTGTTACACTGTTGGGATCTATGTTTTTACAAGCACTGGAAAATACTTGACACAGACATGGCTCCCTGCAGGACTGTTAAAGTAATGGTTTTCCTTTTGAGATGTAGTGTGAAAATGAAGTAGAAGTGGCATCATAAAGCCTTGACTTCATTTAGGCCTGCTGTATAAAAGCCCAGCAGTGTTTGCATAGACAATCAGCACAGAAGATTGAACTAATAGCTGTTCACTTTTTGTCATCACGAGGTGAACAAACATTTCATTGTTGTTGGCTGTGAGGTTATTTAGGCTCCAGGGTCGCATTTAGCAAGGATGAGACGTATGAGGAGCTATTTAATGACTTGTAGACCAACAGTGTTTTTCATGTGGCTGTCGTTTCCAGGGTTTAAGTACATTTGAATGAATGCAAAACACAGATAAGTGCACATGGAAATAGCTTTAGGCTTCATTAGGTTGTTAGAACTATGGCAACACATTGTCTGAGGTTAGAGAGTCCTCTGGTGGTGGACTCACAGATTACAACAATTGATCCAGAGGAAATTCAAAGATTACAGTTGCTCTTCTTTTTACTTCTTAATCATAATGTTTGAAACTTTAAAAGAAAATTAAACACACACACACACACACCACATTGTTATTAACAAGATCAAATGATTATTTATCATTTCAGAAGTGTTCAGCATTGATCCTGTGCTGTTGTTATAGCAGTTTTTCAGCATTGAATTGTAAAAATCTTTCATTTCAAGAATGTAATTCATGTAAAACTTTAAATTCCAGCACTGCATATCGCCGCTTTGACAATCCTCTAACTCTGTGATAAATATTTCAGTAACCCTTGCATTCACCTCCACCGTCCAGACGAGTGCAGCACTGAGTTGTTTCTAAACCGAACACTGGTAAAGTGGGGATGGATCCATGTGATCAACTCACAGACAGAAACACACGATTTGTTCCAAGTCTGACCTAATTTAGTGTTGTTAAAGGATTGGGGAAGAAATTCTAAGAAAACCGATCAAAAATGTCGGCCTGCTTATAGTTGATTTAACAGCTGAACGATGGTGTTTGCAGCCAGCTTAAAGATCCTTCCAGACAAATACTCCTCTTGGAATAATAGGCTAATTAATTTGTGTCTGATATGATCCCCCCCCCCAAATAAAGAAGTTCAATTACCTTGTTAAAAAATATTTAAATTACATTTACTCCTTCTCCCTCATTAAAAAAATGACTGACATACAAATATTTAATATTTAATATATATTTAAATAAAAGTTTTACAAGATGTCTGGTACTTCACTAAATACCAAGTTCTCTGTATGTGCATTGGAGGTTTCAAGTTTCTGTATCACATTAGTATAAATTTCATCCTGGACCACAATTGGCGGTTTTCAAATTAGTTGTGATGTCATTAAATCATGCTTGTTATAAACTTAAAGTGATTTAAAGTGAGCACAGAGAAACTTTTCCTCTTCAGCAGTTCTAGTCAAACTCTGCTTACATCCTTTTGTACACTGAAGGTCAAAAATCCAAGTGAAGTGGTGGGGGTTTAAGGTAAACCTAGCATATTCGGTGCTGAGGGGAAAGCCTGTGTGTTACTTTAAGATACAAATGTGACTCAAAATGTGTATTTAGAACCAATATTTACAGACAAAACATAAAACCAATTAACATAACACTGCATTGGTTGTATATGTGTATCTGGGGGAACAGTTGTTTGTGTGTTGTGGATGCAGGATTAGCCGAACACAACTCCCGCTCATCTTTTACATGTCTTAAGGGTTTTAAAGTGAAGAGAAACTGTGTTCAACCCAAATACCTGAAACACCAACAGAGCCAGCACTGCAGCAACAGTAATCTAATGCGAGACTAAACACTGAAATACGCATCCTTGAGACTGTGTCAGCTTACGAGGTAAAAAATACCAAACGAATCACTGCACTGTGGCTGGAAATCTTCTGCTTCAACAAGCTGCTCTGACTGATCACCTGTCCAGGTGGGTGCGCTGTGCTTCACATCAAGCCTCTCCCTCCATTTAATCTACAAATTACAGTCATTCAGCCTAACTGAGGAACACCTCGACTATAACAGACTCAGACCACAGGCCCCAGATTTGTTGAGTTGTAATACCACTGTTCTGTTTAAATGCCACTAATTTTCAGCAAATGTTTTGTTGCACTTTGAGCAGTATGTAAATATCACTATTGAACTCCTACCATAATTCTGTGTTTTAGGTATCTGGATATCACAGACTGTTTTCTAGTTTCACCCCTTCAGGAAACTAGTAAAAATCACTGCCATGTTTTAATATTTTGTCATAATGATAATCATCCATCCAGTCTAATACATGATGATGATTATATATATAACAAATACATCAACCTAACATCATATGAATGTGTCATATTATTATTATTATTATTATTATTATTATTATTATAACTTCATACTTCATACTAAACACAGCCAAATTACAGCCCATGCGATGTCCTTGTAGAATCTCATTAATATTGAAATTGGGAACTAGTTGAATGGATGTGATTTCATTTTTCCTATTGTGGTGCATGAATTTATCTTCAACGTGCTCCGGCTGGCGTTGGAAGTAGTTCCGGTGGTGTAGCAGCCGAGCGGAGCACAGGGACCCGGGATCTTCGTGCTGCTGAGCGCAAACGCGAATAGCGGGTCGAGTCCGCCTGTCATGACTGTCGAATGACCACAGCAGCGGTCAGTTTGACGCCTGCAGAGCACCGTGCATGCAGCCGGACTGACAGCGCCGAGGCACCGCCGGAGCTTTTGTCTTCGAGGGGAATTTTCAAGTGCAGAGAATAGGCGTCTGGAGCAGAGTACCAAAAAAAACTGAACCGGTTCATATTCACCTACGACGGTGAGTAGTCTGTGCAGAAGAATTTTTGAATGTCAGTCGCCAAGATAGTGAGAAACAGTGCTTTTGAAATGAAAGGAGTGTTACTGAGAGGCAGGTTTTCACTTAATGGCAGGGTATGACATTAAGTTCGCCGCCTGTCACAATATGCACGCATGCAGACGCTGTAGCGTCCGTCTTTACGCCAAATGCCAGTCAGATAAAAGTCAACTTATGTTAAGTTTTGCAATAATAGTCTCATGGCACCGTTCACACAGCGGGGTTGTTGGGTAACAGCCTGGGAAGAAAGTGGCGTTTATTACAAACACTGATCTAAGTGGTGAATCGTGGTGGATGCGCACATATGCAGGAGACGGTGCCATGCACAGCTGAAAACACTTTTCAAGTGATAACAGTGGACCGAGCAGCAGTCCGAGCTCAGAGGGGACCGAGTTCCACATTCATGTGTCACAGTCGGTAGCAACGTACTGCTATGGAGAGGCACATTATTCTTAAAAGTGGGGGAACCGACTACCAAGTTTAAATCACATTGTAGTTGGTGATTGTTGTGAGCAAAAGTCGTAACAGAAAGGAAACAAGTCAGGTCACTTTAAATAATTAGCTTTAAGGATTTCATAAGATTTAACTAACTTTGTCTCCCAGTAGGCCTATTACATATTCTCTATAGGTTTATATATAGGCGTTTAAATACGTGCCAAGGTGTCATTAACACTTTGGCATGTGTTCATTGGTGTTCATGACTGATGTATTTTTGTTTACTTGTGTATGTGTACATTACTGTATTACTGTGTATGGATGGATATACGGATGTACAGTGTGTTTTCATGCATGTAACTATGCCTGCATGCATCATGTCACGGTTATCATTTAGCACACTTTTTAAAAGGATGTGTAATGTCCCTGTGTTTGGTTTAGGACCACTTATAAAGGATTTATATCTAGAATTAGGGTTTCACTTACCAAGTCAGATTCACGCCATACTAACTGGTGTTAACATGATGTTGATATAATTGACGGAACAGTTAACTAATGCAGACAGAAGACACTGTAACTTGCCATAACTGCAGTTGAGTGCCTATTTGTCCAGCAGTGCATACAGGTCACTTTTATTTGCAGTTTTCCAGTGAACTGAGTTTGTTGATAGAGTGGTTATCCACTCACCCACTACGGATTTTTATTCCATAGGCTGCCTCAAATGGACCAGTGTAGTCTCTTTCCATAAAGACACCATAACCTTACCCTGAACGGTGACCATCTTATACCGTAGTAGGAGTCATTATCTTTCATCATCCTGCGGAGGTATGTGTGTGTGTGTGTGTGTGTTTTAGGGCGACAGACTGAGAAAGCATTTGAGAGAGTACCCTGCTCCTGATTTGGATGCGCCTCTAATTCCTATCAAGATGAGAGCTGTCTGAACAGATTTCTCTCATCATTATTTGCTCTGAGATTTACTTGCGCTTGTAAATGGTGTTGATTGAGGGTAATTTGGCTTTTTAATTGCTGAACAGCTGCCACACTCACTGCTGATTGCCATTGTAGACTTTCTCAGTAGATCACTCATAGACCCCTAAATGCCTCATTAAAACGTTATGCAGAATCGCATGAAACGTGAAGAGAAGGAACCCTCATAATGTTTTACTGATTTGTGTTTTATCATCGGAAAGGTCGTCGTAATTATCGTCAATGTCAGCAAATGCAATGCTAAGAAACGAGTGTAGTAATGACTTTTTGAAAGTTGAATTAAGGGCTATTTGTGGATACGCTACATGCATTTCAGCTTCTTTGATAAAGATGAACTCCATATGCCAGTGTAACGGATGTTAGTTGGGCATAGATGAGAGAGACTCAGAGGACAGAGTTCCACTATTTATTCCTTGCTCATTGACTGCACGTATATTGTCTCCAGGTTAGTCACCGCACATCTGGACCCTCATCGACACAAAGCAGCACTGTGAGCGCTTTTCTTTATTATTATAACAATAACAACACAGCAGTACTACACAACTGTGCCAGCACTAAGCCAGTGGTTGTACATTATGTTCCCTATGTTTCAAAAGTATTAGCTGAGAGCTTTTTAACAGAATTTACATAAGGAAATGGCTGCAGCAATCTCCACAGGGTATAAAGTGGCAAGGAATGCTACAAATAGCGTCTGGCGAACTTGAAACGGAAGCGCCTGTTAGTGGTCAAAATAACATTAAAATAGAGTAATGTAAATCATATTGACAGTAAACAATATGCATTAAAGATTACAATTTGAATGATTTGTTTATCACAGGAAACAGTAAAGTAGCACCAGAAGCGTTTCACCAGACAACTTACCCTCATCAATGCAAATCAGCCCTGCGAGGGGGGCTATGAAAACTTGGCAGGTACATTAAGGGAGATGTGCAGTCACTGAATTACTGCAGGTAAATAAAAATATCTCAGGCTCCTCAACGAGATGAAAGTCACAAAATGATTAAATAATAAATAAATTTAAAAATTACAAAATAAAATGAGCAATAAATACTCATAAATAAAGCACATTTTAAACTCCGTTATAGCCACCCCCATTAAATGTTATTGAATTTAAGCTCCGACTACACAGTATGCACATGAGGAAACACAAATTACAAAGGGTCAGTAAAATAAAATAAAAAACAACCCCAAGAGCATCCCATAGAGAGAAAGTGGTGTGAGAGCATCGCTTATCTCCCAAACAAGCTACTGACAATAGGGTGTCTTGGACAACCCACAAGACCCCAACACAGTGTAGTGCAGATCTATGAAAGAAGAAAATGTCACCTTTGCATAACACTACTGGACCCATAAAGGGGTAGGTTGTCTGACTTAGGATTTAATTAGCAAAACACTGGCTTGCAAACAGCTTTAAAACTGTACTTCATCATGAACAACATCCTACCTCGACACGGTTTGTATGAGCCTATTTATAGGCCACCAAATCTGACCTGTGTTTATGTATTGCCATGGCCACAGTGTGTGGGTGAGGTCTGATCAACAGTGTCCAGAGTGCTGTGTGTTGTCTGTCTGTGTGTGTCGTAGTGTCGAGGGCACGGCCGGCCTGTCTCACGTGTACAGGAACATCTGCAGCAGTATCGATGTCAGTCACAGGTCTAGTGTCACAGGTCAGAGACGGATCTGTCATCTGGTCTTTAGGGACGACTCACATGTGCTGAGGTGCAGAGGTCATCCTTGTCATGTCAGTAACATGCGCTTGGTACAGACAACTGTGTAATCCGTGCTGTGGTTCTCCACAGGCTCCGGATAAGTCAAGGGGCCCTGTCCCTTTCTCACCTGTAACTGTGAGACAGGGACAGGTTCCACATTCCGGTTTCCCATTGGATGGTAGCGGGTTGTGTTTGATTTATTGATGCTTGAGACCATGAGGAGCTCACCTGTTAGCTGACTCTGAAAGTTAGCTCCTTATTCACTGTGGGTCCCTTCTGGGAATCCAATGACACATAAGTACTGGTCCCTCACCACCTGTGTAGCTGACTGGTCTTTACAGGTAAATACCTGAGCTATCTTCATAAAGTAGTGTGTTATCACCAAGATGTTGATCTAGTTGACGTAATGCTGTTCATTGGAACTCTCTGACCCTCTCGCTGACAGTGGCATACCGAGTCTCTTTAATCTCTGTCCAGGTTTTACCAGAGTAACCTCTGTGTTGTTGAGCTGAGGCTGATATCCGGCATTGTCTTAGCAAAATAGGGACAACAAATATTGTCTGGAACTGCTTTGCCTTGGTTTCCTGGTCTCTCCCTTTTTGCAACCACTGGATAACCAGAAGGCATTTTGGCCAGAAGTACTTGACATATCTTTGATTCTAGTGTTGACCACAAGGTGCTCAGCCAACAGTCAACAGCGCATAAATGACTCACAATCTCTTCTGCTTGTTCATGTCCAGGTACCTGTTGCTTTATGAGTTGAGCTTTATGTCAATCCAGTCCTGAACTGAATATTTGGCAGTGCCAGTGTCTGGAGCTCCTGGATCCAGCATACATGTATCAAGCTGATCTGAAGATCCAAAGGGTCACAACACCAGTGTAACTCATGTTAGGTGGGCATAGATGAAAAAGAGTCAGAGGCCTGATATATAGCATTTATTTCTCTCTCTGCAGGACAATATAACACACACACACACACACACAATGTATTATCTCCAGGTTGGTCACTGCACATCTGGACATCTGCATCTCATCAATGCAAAGCAGCACTGTGAGCACTTTTCTTTTATAATGTTTCAAGCAACGCAAGAATGCTACAAAACTTTATCATTACAAAGTATATATGCCTTAGCTAATGATGGACCTAATATGTATAAAATCACTTTTTTACACAAGGTAATGGCTGCAAAAATCTTCTCAGGGTAAAAATTATTAACTAACAAAATAAAAGTAAATATTTAGCTCTGTTCCACCAGTATATAAATCAGTCATGGCTGTAAAGAGTTTATGTTGTCTCTCTGCGTATACAATTGTATTGCTTGTAATAATTATTTTTGTGTCACTTCATGAGTAATGTCGGGCAGCCAGTCTTTCTTCTCAGTGTCTGCCAAGAATGATTTGCCACCCAATTAAAACATGATGGAGATAAGATACTAAACATTTGCCAAATTATGACAGAAATGTGTTTTGTTAAGCAGCTACCTTTTGTAAACAAAACATACTTGCACACATTGAAAGAAAAAATGGAGATATGTGTTATACAATCAAACCACAATTCCAGCCATCCTTGTGTCTGTGTCCTCATAAAGCTCGTTTTATTGACAAACCCAGCATGATTAACATTAGCATGAATCCTCCATAAGTTCTTTTTACAGCTAAGAAGTATAAACCAGTCTCTTTGCTGTGCTGTTTGGAAAGTGTTTGTCCGTCTTAGCCACAGTGTTGACCCTTGTAAACAGACAGGTTGCAGTCTCACCTTTTCATACTGCTCTCATTGTACGGAATCTGTAATTAACCTTGGAAAGATCTGTTTACTTATGGACAACGTAAAAAGTAAGAATTTGCTTTTAACGAACATAAATGCCCACTCTCAGTTCAGTTGTACGGAGTGATGCCTGGGAGCCGTCGCCTACTCTTTATCTCTTTGTCTTTACAGCCAGAGCAGCTGTGGGTGAACTGCCTTGCTCAAAGATAGCTTGGCAGTAGCTTTCGAAAGAGGTGAAGAAGAGGTCTCATTTGCTTCGGCTATAAGCCTTCTAATCTGCCTCTGTAATCATCAGGCCACTACAGTGTTACAAGGTCAACTGGTCATTTTATTTACCTCAGGTCATTTCAGTTATCAGCTGTTTAAATCATCATTTGGACAAAGAGATGTATTATTAGAAGTAATTACCATGCTGCAATGATAACACAATATGAAATCAGCTGTTTCTTAGATGTCGATATGCTTGTATACTGTACCATAGCACACTTCTATATCATCAAGCTGGGAAGACGAGAAATTTGACAACACCTTAGAGCAGAGTTACTCTCCTTTTAAGTACCTTTAAGTTTTCTGAGTGCTCCCAGTCATTCTGATTTTTGTCTTGTCCCCAGGAAAGTACACATAATTTGAATTCAAATGCAGCAAATCCTTTTATCTAGTCAAAATCCTCTTTGATTCTGTTAGTAAGGCATTGGTATGATTTGAAAGAGAAAGATGTAAAAGATAAGATAGGGTATGATCACTTTTAAAGGTCTGTCATTTGGATTGAACTCAGGAGTGGCGCTGCCAGCGACAAGAGTTCAGTGCAAAGCTTCTATTGTGAACCTGATGTAAATCCTGTGTCTTACACAAGCTGAGATTGTTGTTGCAGTCTACTGGTTGTGTTTTAATGAGTAACAATTGTTAGCCAATTTGCATGTAAAACAATGTAATTATAAACAAGCATCAAAAAGCTGTAATACTTCTAAAAAATGTAAATTACTCTCCATTATAAAGCGCAACAAAACCTAAGCCATGCCTCCGAGCCAGAGCCTCTAGGTTTTGGATGCTCGCTTCCATTATTAATGCTATTCACAAGCCAAACTTTTTAGGTTGGTGCAGTTGGGCGCTTTAATCTATTTTTGCTGTAAATTAATGAATTTTTAAAGAGGACTAGTCCTTGCTGAATAGGGCTGGATTTGGGAATGTAGTTTTGAGTCGTGGTGACGCAGTGCTATAGCCCCCTTTACTGTGCAAAGCATGAGTTCACAAACAGCATCCCATCTCTCTCTTGGGACCGTTCGTTGGGGGAGTTATCCGAAATGCTGCACTCCTATGTTTTATTTATGACAAAATATGCCTTTTTAACTTAGGCGTTGTCAGAATCTGGAATTGTGATAGCTTTTTCCTAGTCGGCAGTGGTAAGTCTTCTGGGTCGCTAACTCCCTCTACCTTGGCAGATGTTTTCAGGTGTTATGTTCTGTGTGGGCTTAGTGAGTTAAATATTTTATTCTAACCCTTCAGGGATTCAGTGGAACCTACTGATTTTCTTATCTGCTTTCAATCAGATTTTCTTTCAGGCTCGAGAAAAATTGTGTGACTCTACGTTCTATTTCATTTTAGATGCCACTTGATTGACTTGGTTGACATGGGCCAGCCATCAGTTTTTCAGAAACCGTGGATAAAAGTGTTGTTCCGTCATGGATAAATTATCATCCTCTCTCCTATACCCCCCCCCCCCCCCCCTTTCCCTTTTAAGCATTAGTTGCCTGACCACTCACTTTCAGGACTAAGGACACAAAATGTATCTCAGTTTGAAGCCGTGTATTACATCGATGCCTCTCCAGGTCTCCTTTGAGAATAAGTAGACAGTATCAAACGATAATTGCTTAACCCAGCTCCATTGAGAGATGAGCAAGCAGCCACCATAAGGGCAGCTGATTTGCCTTGATATCTTATAATTGAACCTTTTCAGGGGTATGTTTTCTGGCACTGAAGCAGAAAGTAATTAAGACGTTCAATACTGCTTTTTGGACCTTTTCCTCCTTCCTTTGAATGTCCCACACTCCTAGACATGACAGCGCTCAGTATGCCTACAGACTTTCTTTTGACACATTAGCCTTACCCTTGCCAAGGCAGTCCTTCCCAGAAACCCCCTCCGCTCGGCACGCTCCGGGTGGGTATTTTGTCATTACTTCATTTTCCTCAGAAAATATTTTGATGCCTCTTTCTTTTGGCTCCCCCCCCCCCCCCCCCCTGTCTCTCACCCATCCCCTTTCACTCCATTCAAAGCTTCTCTATAAAATGCCAGAACTGTAAAGCCCTCAATCCTCCCCACTAGGTGGTCTAATATGCTTGCGTCGCTAGCAGCCGGAGTATGCGATCTGTTAGCTGTTACGTGATGCACCTACAGCTGAGGGCAGCGGGTGTATCCGTGCAATTAGACATCACGCTACGACCTGGTCAATGGCTGGCCCAATACACCTGGTTTGCGAACTAACACACAGACGCTCATACTCTTAATTAAAAACGGCACAATAAGCCCTTCCACATAAGCTCACTGAAAGCTCCAGTCCACAGTTGTATAACGTGAAGAGGCGATGTATTACTTATAAGATTCTTTGGAAGGAGAAATACTTTCTTGTTATACGACAGAATAAAGTCAAAATCGTTTATGGTTGCCATCTTTACTATATTAGTAGCCTTTAGTTAATACTGTTAACTGCGTACAGTGCCAGCACTAAATATACATCTAACCACCAACTAGATTCAAGGTTCAAAGCAAAGTTAAACTTATTTTTACATGCCAATTTAATCACTATATACATGGGATAAAAGGGTACAATCGAGATAGCCATAATAGCTTCCTATTTATGCACAGATTTCTTGCAACCTCCAATTCTGAATACCATCCCTAACGTATAGCCAGAATGTCCAAAATAATATCCAAACGAAAATGATATTAATTCCACAATGCACACATCATTAACTACAAGACCGTATCAAAAACAATCATCTTTCATCAAAACACCAACTTTTTACTTTGATCGCATCATCAGCTGGCCATGAATTATCCGCCCCACTAATCGCTAAACCATTTATTTTCCTATAATCAGCTAACATACTCGTTTGAAAATCTGTTACTAGCGATTTTTTCGGATAGGAGATGGTTTATTGATAGTCTTCGAAGACTGCCCTGTATCAGTCGTGATAAATTCAAGGAGTTGCAATCTTGTGGGGCTACTGTTGTGCCATAAAAAGGCTTGTTGCATGAACTTAATTTGATAAAGAATGATTGCCGCCCGTTATATTCATTGTCGCTCACATCAAATTAATCTTTGTATCTGTTT